TTCTGTTTCTGCTCCTGCCCTAACTCAGATTTTTTTCTTTTATCATTTTTTCTCTTTTCTTTATGTTCTTTTCTTCTGTCATTATACCTCACTCAAGGGTCAATAGTTTCAAGGGAAAGTGAGCCCCTATTACTGTTAAGGGGATATAGTCTTGTCCTTATACTTCTACTCTGTCTATCCCTTTTGAATTTAACAGTTTCCTGAAGATTGTGTGGTCATTCTATGTCCTCTGGCTTCACTTGAAACCTTCCCCAATTCTTTTACTTATCTACTCTTCTCGTCCTCTGTCTAAGCCCCCATTCTAAATGGTAAAGATGCTATATTGAAAAGTTTATTCACTGCAAACATATTTTGGACTGTTTCTTGATTTTAATTTAATTCACATGGTTTAAAGGAGCTAGACTAATGATTACCACAAGTGGTCAATTTGCAAGTTGTACTTGATCATACTGGGTTGCTGATTGCATCAACTGGGATAAAGGATTGCGCTTAATTTAATGAGCAGTTTTCTCTGATATTATGAAAATGAGAATGTCTATGAGTCATTAGAGACCCAAAAGCTAAAGCACAACTATATCAGGAAGATTTAAGTAATAACACGATAATTAAACCAAGGACAACCCAAAAGCAAAAATAAAAATGAGGAAACACTTAAGCAAGATACAAAGACAGACTTCCAGTTCACCAATGGCAAACAGTAGGGCAAGGGAGGATGAAAAGTCTGATAGCGAACCACCAGGACACCCCAAACTCAAAGCACGGAAGTAACAAAACAGATCAATCAGGCTCTAGAAAAATTCAAAACAGAAATAATAACGTGCCAAAGATTAAAACTGGACCCTTATCTTTCACCATGCACTAAATTAAAATCCAAGTGGATTAAAGATATAAATATTAAAACAGAAACACTAAACTTGCTGGAAGATAAGTTAGTCAGAACACTTGAAGACACTGGCATAGGAAAAGACTTTATGAACAAATCCTCAGTAGCACAGGAACTAGCAGAAAGAATAAAAAACTGGGATCTCATCTCATTAAAGGGCATCTGCACTGCAAAAGGAACCATCAACAGAACTGAGACAACCTACAATGTGGGAAAAAAATTTTACCAGCTGCTCCTCAGACAAAGGACTATTATCAAGGATATATAAAGAACTCAAAACAATCAGACCCCCAAATATAAGGATCCGATTCAAATATGGGCATCTGAAATGAACAGACATTTCTCAGACAAAGAAGTAAAAGCAGCAAGTAAATACATGAAAAAATGTTCCACATCACTGGTCATTCGAGAGATGCATATGAAAACAACACTGAAATTCCCCCTTACCCCATAAGGAATGGCCACTATTAAGAAATCACTCAATAACAAATGTTGGCAGGGTTGTGGGGAGAAAGGAACTCTTCTCCATTGTTGGTGGGAGAGCAGACTGGTGCAACCACTATGGAAATCAATATGGAGATACCTCAAAGATCCGGGAATAGAGGTTCCATTTGACCCAGCCATCCCTCTGCTGGGTATCTTTCCAAAAAACTTAAAAGAATCATATCACAGTGACATATGTTCACCTATGTTTATAGCAGCACAGTTTGTAGTAACAAAAACTTGGAAACAGCCCATTTGCCTATTAATTGGAAACTGGATAAAGAAGATGTGGTTTTTCTATAAAATGGAATACTACTCAGCCATAAAGAATGAGAAATTAGATTCATTCATAGGAAAATGGATACATATTGAGGTTATACTCCTAAGTGAAATAAATAAGTCACACATGTGTAAATACCAAATAGTTTCTCTGGTGTGAACAAACTATAATAGTATATAAGAACCTAATGCGATAATTGACAATGTGAAATAGGAAGAAAAAGGCTAAAGGTGTAGGGAAAGTGGGAAGTGTAGGAGAAAGGTAATAAGGAAAAGAAAAAAATAGGAGAAAATGAAAAAATGGAAATAAAGTGTTTATAAATGGGAAGAGGAAGAGGCGGTGAAGGGAGGGCAGGGGCAAGGGGAAAAAATGAGACCAAGACCTGTCATGTAAAGGTACAAGATCCCAATGATGAATGTAACTGTACTGTATACCTAAAATGTACCAATAAACTCAATGAGAAAAAAAACTGATGAAAAATAATGTTTTTTCATAATGAAGACCACCTTAGAAATTGATGATCACCAAATCAGCAGTACAAAAAATCCTCAAGGACATCTTAGATAGAGACAATGAAGCCAGCAATGTCAAAAAGTCTAATAGAATGAATACATCAAGCAGGCCAAGCAACTAAACAGAATGGGAAAAAATAACCAGCCACAGGACAATAAATGACAAGAATACCTTTCAGTAATAACTCTTAATGTGAATGATTCTATAAAATTAATCCTCAGTGAGGAAAAAAACAAATTGTCAGACTAGATCAAGAAACAAAATTTAATGATATGCTATATACAAGAAACACATTTAACTCAAAAAGACATTCATACACTAAAAATCAAATGATGGAAAAAAATAGTCTATGCAACGATTACCCAAATACAAGCAGAATTAACTGTCCTATTTTCAGACAACATGATCTTTAAGTCAAAAAATGACCAGAAGAGGTAAAGGGAGTCTCTACATGTTGGATGAGGGAAAAACTCACCAGAAAGAGATAAAAAATTGTAAAACCACACACACCAAACACTAGCACACTCAACTTCATAAAACAAATACTACTGGACAAAAAAGATCAGGTAAACATTAATACACTTATAATTGGAGACATCAATACTCCATAATTACAAATAGACAAGACCAAAAAAAAAAAGCAGAGTTTAATCAAACCTTCAAACAAATGGATTTAATTGATATCTACAGAATGCTCCACCTAAGAGAAAACACACTCTTCTTAGCAATACATGGAACTTTCTCCAAAATAGTCCACATACTAGCTATCAAGTATGCTTAAATTTAAAACTATTTTAGAAATAAAAAATTTCCCATGCATATTACCAGATTACTGAAGACACCAAATTCTGTAATTCTAATTAAAGTTACAATAAAAAAGGAAATAGGAGCACATGAACTCTGTGCAATATATGTATTTCTTGTATTGACATACTTTTCTAATGTGCTTTTAGAAAGCACCCTACTATTAAAGTGTAATTTATCACTTAATAACTGTTATGTTCATGGTTATTTCCATAAATTATTGGGTATTTTTTATTATTTTCATTATAGAATTTGTATGGAAAGATCAAATTCAACTTTTAGACTCTTAAGAATAAAACCAACTCAGGAATGTAAAATAATAAAATTATGTTCAAATCTATTCTACCTCAGTAATATTTTTAGCTATTGAATAGTGTGGGACATGTTGAGATATTCTAAGGGTAAGGATAATTTGTTGCATCTGGCCCCAAAACTAAGCACATCTAGTGGGCTTGTTATGGCTCATATCTAGATGTCTCACAAAAGCCTCATTTGCTCACAGGTGGGACTTTTCAGAGGTGGCTGGATCTAGGTTGTATAATGCTAGGATCAAGCATGTGAAGCAGAGGCTTATTTTTGGTGCAATGCTAGGATTAAAGCTACCTCATTCGGAGTGTGAGTGCTAACCACCTGTGAGTGGATAGCCTTTATAGAATATAAGTAACAGAAAGGTTTGTTGCTTGTTGCTTGCTGCTTGCTTCCTTGCTACTTCACTGCTTTGCTGCCTTCTTGCCTTTCACCCTCCATGAACTGTTTCTCTTTTGCAATGATCTTCTTTCATGACACTCTGCCCTGGATTAAAGACAACTATGAACTGAAACCTCTACAAACTGAGCTAAATAAACCTTTTCTTCTTTAACTTTAGGCCTTGTGTACTTTGTCATACCAACAAAAGTAACTAAGATAGGGCCTTTTTGGACTTTGAAGGTAATACATTACTCATTTATGTTTATTACTTTGATCTATTTAGAAAGTGACACAAAAAGATGCTAGTTTTTACTGTTGTCCAGACCACCCCCCAAAAAACTGGGGAGTTCTGCAATAGGTCTAGCCTTCTAAAAGCTGCTCTGCCACTTGGGTCAGGAAACCCATTAGAGATTTGCATAAATAGCAATATACATGCTATGTAAAGCTATTGTGAGGCCCCTAAAGGAGAAGTATACCATAGGCCTTCAAATTTTGAAACAAGTCCTTGCTGTCATCTGAAGTTAACTATTCTCCTTCTGCACAATATTGATCAATTGGAGATACTGAATGTTTAACTATGGAACACCAGATTACCATGCAACCTGCCCATTATGGACTGTGGTAGTAAAATTTTTGCTTCTTGTACCCCAAACCTCATGCTTTTCTAGCCTAAAGGTCTTTAGTTCCAGGGAAGGAATTATTTTACCATGAACATAAATATGATTCCAATGAATTCAAACTTATGACTGTTACACGGTAACATTAGGCTTTTCATACTTCTTAATTAACAAGCAAAGAAAGGAGTATGGCTTTGGCTGGTATGACCAGTCTTACCTATCTGGGAAAACTGGACTACTCTACAAAAGAGAAAACAGAGTACATTTGAAATTTAGGAGATTTTGTAGTGTGTCTCTTAATATTATATCCTATGCTTACGGCTGATAGGATAAAAAAGTGAAGGAAGGGTGAATTTCCCTTTTTGATGGAGCTGAAAATTCCATCTCCTACATGTGAATATTAATGCTCTAGGTTCTTGGGTTTGTACTCTTGAACTGGGACTTATACAACTAACTTGCCTAGTTCTCAGGCTTTTGGATTCAGACTGAAATATACTACCACATTTCTTTTGGATTCATACTGAATAAACCACTGGCTTTCCTGGTTGTCTAGGTTATGCACAGACCATGGAAACCCTTGATCCTTGTAAATATGTAAGCCAATTTTTATAATAAAATTCACACACACACACACACACACACACACACACACCCCTCCTGTTTTTCTGGAGATTTCTACTACAGTATTGGAACTATATATAAATGTGAACTACATCCTCAGCCTTCAACCTACCTTTAATATCTGTTGAACTTTAGTTTCTACTGAATGAGCTTGAAATTTCTTCATAGGCTCCATTCTATATGAATTAGCAAACTTTAATTTTGACAGGTCACTCTTCCATTCTTTACCTATATCAGCAATTGAGTCATCAAATGGAGGTTCTACATATTGAACATCATGAACTGATTCTCTTAGTCTTTCTCTTAAGATCTGTGCATACTGGAGAAAGGAAGAGTAGAAGAGTGAGGGGACGGAAGAGAGGAAGGTAGAAAGGGAGAGGGGAGAGATAGAAATAGATCACTTGTCAAATTGTAAAAGGTAATTTCAGATTGAAGAACCCTGGTATAGAGGGCAAGGCAGACACAAAGCTTGGAAATCTGTTATAACAGACTTCTATGAAAATGCAGTCACTAAATCCTAGATTTACTCATATCAACTTGGCAAAAGAAAAAAAATTTTATTTACACACACAAACATAGATATGCAAATTTGTGTGCATATTTATTTATTTATTTAGGTACTGGGGATTGATCTCAGGACCTTGAGCTTGTGAGGAAGGCTTAGTGCCACTGAACTAAATCCTCAGCCAATACACATATTTTGATGGTGGAATGTTAGTCACATATCTACAAAGAATTTCTACGTCTTCTTGGAGAACTGGCCTCTTTAGTAACACGTAATGGTTGTCTTTATTCCTGACACCATTCCTAGCTTTGTTGTGCACCTTTTCTGAAATTAAAGTAGCTAGTTCAGCTTCATTTTGATAGTTATCACTATATATTTTTCTCCACCCATTTTCTTGCAAACATCCATTTACTTGCTCTTCATTTCAAAGTGGGTTTATTGTAGATAACGTCTTTCCATTTATTTATATCCTCTTCGATCTCTTTTTTCAGAGTGTTGTAGTTCTCAATGCAGAGATCTTTTGCTTCCTTCATTAGATTGATTCCTAGATGTTTCATTTTTTTGGATGCTATTGTGAAAGATATTGTTTCCCTAATTTCTCTCTCAATGAATCTGTTATTTGCGTACAAGAAGGCTATTGATTTTTGAGTGTTTACCTTGAATCCAGCTACACTAATGTATCTGTTAATTAAGTATAGAAGTCTTTTGGTAGAGTTTTTGGGGTCTTCTATGTAAAGTATCATATCATCAGAGAATAATGACAGTTTAACTTCTTCCTTTCCTATCTTTATTCCTTTTATTTCTTTCTCCTGTCTAATTGCTGTGGCTAATGTTTCTAAAACTATATTGAACAGGAGTGGTGATAGTGGACATCCTGGTATTGTTCCTGGTTTTAGTGTGAAGATTTTCAGTTTTTGACCATTTAGTATGATGTTGGCTGTTGGTTTTTCATAGACAGCCTTTCATAGATAGCTAGAAGAGACCTAGAATAGCAAAAGCCATTCTAGGCAACAGAGACATGGCAGGGGGTATCACAATACCCAACTTGAAATTGTACTATAAAGCCACTGTAAAAAAAAAAAAAAGCATGGTACTGGCAAAGAAACAGACCTGAGGATCAGTGGAACAAATTAGAAGATGCATAAATAACTCCAGACACACTCAGCTACCTCATCTTTGACAAAGAAGCCAACCATCTTCGCTGCAGGAAAGATAGCCTCTTTAAGAAATGGTGTTGGAAAAACTGGATTTCAACTTGCCAAAGATTAAAACTAGAGCCCTATCTTTCACCATGCACTAAACTAAAACCCAAGTGGACAAAAAAATCTAAATATTAAAATTGAAACACTAAACTTGTTGGAAGATAAATTAGGTAGAACTCTTCAAGACACTGGCATAGGAAAAGACTATGAACAAATCCTCAGGAGCATGGGAACTAGCACAAAGAATCAACAACTGGGATCTCATCTTTTTTTAAAAAAAGATTCTGCACTGCAAGAGAAATCACCAAGAGAGCTAAGAGAAACCTACAATGTGGGAAGAATTTTTAACCAGCTGTTCTTCAGACAAAGGTCTACTATCTAGAATATATAAAGAACTAAAAAAAAAATCAGACCTTCCAAATTTAAAAACAATTCAAAAATGGTCATCTGAAATGAACAGACATTTCCCAGACATAGTAAAAGCAGCAAATAAACATATGAAAAAATGTTCAACATCACTGGTCATTCAGGAGGTGCAGATAACAACAACACTGGGATTTCACCTCACCCCAGAAAGAATGGCTATCAAGAAATCAACCAATAACAAATATTGGTGGGGTTGAGGGCAGAAAGGAACACTTCTTCATTGTTGGTGGGAGTGCATACTGGTGCAACCACTGTGGAAATCAATATGGAGATACCTTAAACAAGCAGGATCAGAAATCCCATTTGACTCAGCTATTTCCTTGCTGGGTATCTTCCAAATAGAATTAAAAGAATCATACCACAGTGATATATGCTCACCAATGTTAATAGTGTCACAGTTTGTAATCGCTAAAACTTGGAAACAGCCCAATTGCCCATCAACTGAAGACTGGATAAAGAACTAGAGATATTTATACCTAAGTGGATACAAATTGAGGACATACTCAAGTGAAATTAATAGGACACACATGTGTAAATACCATATAGTTTGTCTGGTGTGGTAAACTAAAAGTGTAAATAAGGATCAAAATGTATAACTGATACTGTGTAACAGAAAGGAAAGGTCTAAAGGTGTAAGGGAAGTGGGAGTGGTAGGGGAAAGGTAAGAAGGGACAAGAAAAAAACGAGAAAAGGAAAAAAGGAAACAAAGTCTTTGTAAATGGGAATGAGTGGAGGGGGTGAAAGGAGGCCAGGGGAATGAGGAAAAGATAAGAACCAAGATATGTCACGTAAAGGTACAAGATCCTAATGATGAATCTAACTGTATTGTATATGTAAAACGCACCAATAAAAAACCTACATATCTGCTACTCTTTTGTAATTGTCGCCATTGTTCTTTGTTCCCACTTTTATTTACTTTTCTCCCTATTGTGATTTGAGCTGAGCATTTCACCTTCCATTTTATCTTCTTTCTTAGCATATCAGTTATACTTCATTTTTTTTTTGGTTACCCTAGTTTGACAACACACATTTAGAACAAATCTACATTAATTTTCAACTAATACCACAATACTTCATGAAGAGTGTAATTTATTCTAAAACATTTAAAATTCCTCTCTCATCCCTTTTATCACTATCATTCATTTCATATGAGAACACATACACATATAGGTAAAATGTATCTCTCACCATACATAACTGAAAACTTCATTGCTATTATTATTAACAATTATGTTAGATCAGTCAAGACTTGGAATTTTACCTTTACTTATTACTTCTTCTTTGGGCTTTCATTTATGTCCAAGTTTCTGACCTCCATTATATTTATTCTGTTAAAGAACTTACTATTTATTGTAAAGTAGGTTTACTGAAAAATTTCCTTAATTTTTGAGAAAGTCTTCATTTCTTTTTCAGATATAAGGGTAATTTTGCAGGAACAGAAATCTAGATTTTTTTCTAGAAATATTTTCTTTTACTCCACTCCTTCCTTGTATTCTCCCTCAAAAGAAATGTAATTATCATCTTTTCCTCCAAATAGGTAAGGTGTTTTTCTTTCGTTTTTTCTTGGATGTTTTTTCACCTTTAATTTTTGTAGTTTGAAAATTATATGCCTACATGTCATTTTTTGTTTGTTTTGACATTTTCCTATTAGTCCCTGATTTTCCTGCATCTACGCTTTTGCATGTTATCTGATATTATTCTTCAAATATTCCTTCAGTTATTTTCTTCTCCCCCTGGTATTCCCATTATAAGTCATTTACACTTCATGTCACTGTCCCACAGTGCTTGGACCTCCCCCACCCTTTAACCAGTTTTGGAGACTTCTGTTGATACATCATTGAACAAAGAGATTTCTTCTTTTGGTATGTCCTCTCAAGTTGTGTTCTGTTTAGTAGCAACAGGCCTATGAATGGCTTTCTCCATGTTACTGGTTTTTGAAATTTAGCATTTCTTTTGACTCTTAGGATTTCCCTCTCCGATTATATTGTTAATCACTTCTTGCATGCCACTTTGTCAACAGAGTCCTCAGAATATGAATCATTTTAAATTCTCAATGTCATCATTTCCGCCAAATGTGGTTTTAATGCCTGTTTTTTTTTTTCTGTTCATTGTGTTTTATAATTTTTCCCTTCATAGCCAGACATTCACTGGTAAAATAAAGTGCTGTAAATAGACTTCCTGTAATATAGTGATAATACACAGGAGGAAAGGAAGGAATGTATAATTTTTATGTTCAGGTCTCCCTTTTTTCACTGAGTCTATGCTTGTAGACAGAATTTCACAAATGTTTTGTTTTTCCTCCCTCCCTAATCCTGTAGGTGGAATATAGTAGCTAGAATGGGCTTAGAGATGGATATTGCCCTTTCCACAGGTCATTTAGAAATCCCCAGAAGACTAGGCTCTTTAACTCATTTCTCCTGTGTGTGGCTATTAAACCTCACCCATCATTTCTTGTCAGAAGTATGAGGGGATTTTCCTGTAATTATTTTCTGAGAACCCAGTTCAACTCCTGAAGGTGAAAAGCAGAAAAACACGAGGACCACTCAGTGTACGTCTGGAGTTTTGAACTCCAAGCATTATAAACATATAGCTTTTCTGAACACTGTAGCACACACCTGTAATCTCAGCACTTCGGGTTGGGACCATGATTGGAGGATCACAAATTGAAGCCCAGCCTGTATAACTAAGTAACTTAGTGTGGCCCTGTCTTAAAAAAAAAAAAAAAAAAAAAAAAAAAAAAAAAAAGCTGGGGATGGAACTTAGTGCAAAGGCTTTGGGTTCAATCCCCAGGACTGAGGACGGAAAGGTGGTCTCCGGGAATACAATTATAGTTCAGGTTTTACATCCTGATTGGTTTTTGCCCTCATGTTACCAGTAGGCACTAATTTTGGAGGCAACAATTTGCCCAATGACCTCACTTCTCTAATAGATGAGTTCATTTTTTTCAACCTCTTTAGCTTCTTATTACAATATAGTAATGACTCCCAAAGGCCTTACACCAAAAACTGGAAATGGGAATTTTGTTTTTGAAAGGTTTTCGGCTGGGTATAGAATTCTAGGTTTAGCTATTTTATTTCAGGACTTAAAGATGATGCTTCATTGTTTTCTGACTTGCACAGTTTCTGATAAGTCTGCTGATTTGTTTCTGTGCATACAGCTTTTTCCTAGTTGCCTTTAAATTTTTAAATGCCTGGTTTCAAGCATGTCTTGGTGTAATTTGTTTCTTGTGCTTAGGATTCACTGAGATTGATTCATAGGCTGATCATTTTCATTATATATGGAGATCTCATCCACTATTTTTTGTCCTCTTTCTTCAGGGACTCAACTACTAGAATACTAGCCCACTGGAAGCTCACAGAAGTTTCCTGAGATCCATTCCACAACCTATGTCTCTATATCATAGTAATGGGGCACATACACATAACCTCAAAGTAACCCTTTGTGAACAAACTATTCTCAAAATTACATCTCTATTTCTTTCTTATGTGTCTGATTCAGTACATTCATCAAGAGTATTCCTTTAGACAGATTCTTTGTAATCATTTTCTTAAAATTAAAAAGTTTTCATACATCTACTTTTAGGCATCTAGTAATACAAGTTAAAGTGAATGAACTTACTGATGTGGCATTTCCTTACATTAAGCTTATCTATGGTCTTACAATGAAATAAGATTGCTCATGAGATGCCAATACTTTGTTTACTTAAATACATTTTGTTCACCTTTAAGGATTTTAAATGCATATGCACGGCAAGACTGGTTAAGTTTCCAATTTTTAGTAATCTGCTTAAAGTTTTGTGATCTTGTTTTAAGCCATAGGAACTGATTCTTCTTAGAAAAATGCATTACAAAGATGGGAAAACCTTACAGTAAATTGGAAAAGCTGAAGAACTAGACTCAGAAAGACACATGGCACACTTCAGCTTGCCATGTGCAACCTGAATAAACCTCGGCCAAAAAAAAGTATCTAAACAGCTGTATTTTGGTTTCATCCTCTGGACAAAGTTAAGGACAGTGGTTGCTAATCCCACTGAAATTCTATCCAAAGAGGATAGAAAAAAAATGGAAAACAAAAAATGGAAAACAGATAAAAATCAAAATATGTTTGGGTGGGGATTTGGCTCAGTGGTACCACTACCTGCCTCGCTAGTGCAAGGTCCCAAGTTCGATCCCTGGTG